TCCTTTTTATTTTTGCTTATCCAGTTGAAAATAGAAGCAATGTAGAGGATTTTTGTGTCACATGTAGGGCTGCACGATTTGGGGAAATAATCGAATTGCGATTTTTCTGACAAATATTGCGGTTGGATTTGCGATATTTGTTCTTAAGCAACCCAACGGACGTTTATTGTAAAATGCGGCCATATCTCCAGCTAGGAAGGTCGTATCAACGTGCTCCCGTCCCCGCAGCCCGAGCTACGAGTGAAAGAACTAAACTTACATGAAACTTCCGTTGGGTTGCTTTAAAGTCAAGCTTCAGTTTCAGATTCACCCTGTAATAGAAACATGTGATGGAGCATTACTAACCTGACTCAGATGGTTTGTTTCACTAAACCATCTAGGAGAGCTCCATTGGAAGCCATTTGGAAAAGTATTTCAAAAATACTTGGCAGGTGATTGGATCAATCTGTCTATCACGGGCCACTTCTGATTGGTTAACAATGGCTGGTACATGTGGAGCACAGCACTTCTGATTGGTGTGGATGACTGACACACAAGAAGAAAAGAAAAAAAAATCGCAGGCTTTGCGATTTGATATTTGCTTCATTTAAAATTGCAATTTCAATTTAAAATCGATTAATCGGTCAGCCCAAGTGTGTGTGTGTGTGTGTGTGTGTGTGTGTGTGTGTTTCATTAGGTACGTGATTACTTTCTTTGTGTGAAAGTGTTCAAAAAACTCTCAATTTGTTCCCAACTCATGGAAGTTTGAAAGGTGGATTACACACAATAGAAAGTCAGGGAATTTAATCGATTTTAGAAAATTAGAAAGTATGTAGGAAGTTCCTAAATAGTTCAGATGACAATCAAATACTGGAGTGTTTTCTACAACATGTTTTTGTATTGATTTGTAGTTTGAAGCTGTTTCTTTTCATAGCAGCCAAATTGTACGAGGATAAGCATTTTACACTATGGAAGAAAGAAATAATCACAGCAACGCCAGAAGGATTTATAAGTTCATATTTTAGGTAATGTGAGTGCAGTGGGTACCTTGACCTCCAGGGTACATGCAGCGGAAAGCTCTGCCCAGCTCCTCAGCCTGAACCCGGCCTGCAGGCGTCAGCTCGCCCCCCCACTTCAGCACCAGCAGCAGAGAGGGGCCGTCCTTCTTAGAGTCTGAAATACAACAAAGTAACGTTATTGATATCCCTATAAAAAATATACTTTAAGCAACTTCAAAATATTCAAAGTGTGCAGGAATATTGTGTTAGTCTAAGTTTTACTTTAACACAAGATTCCTGCTTAGTTTCCCATCAATAGTTTTGTTTTATCCATTTACGTTGATGTTACCATCCCAGGATGCTTTAATAGTTTGACTGACACGTTAACAAATCTGTAAACTACTTGTTAGAAATTGAATGATTTATTTCTTTGACAAGCATTAATTAGCAAAATAACATTTTAATATCATGTGTTTATAGGTTTTTGGGGGATTAATATCATCATTTCACATGGAATCTATAACCTCGTACAAACATATGTGTAAAACACATAAACATCATAATGTGTGTGTGTGTGTGTGTGTGTGTGTGTGTGTGTGTGTGTGTGTGTGTGTGTGTGTGTGTGTGTGTGTGTGTGTGTGTGTGTGTGTACCTTCTTCTTCGCTGGAGGCTTTAGGTTGTCCGTTACGCAGGTAGGTCAGCTGGACTTTCCTGTTTATACCTGAGAAATGACCGTACCTAGCAACACACACACACACACACATACACACACAGACACACACACACACACAAACAGAACCAACACAACAAATGTTAATACGCACATATAAGTCGGACAAAGAGTGCAAACAAAAACACAGGAATAATTTATCCCAGCTTAAAGAACTTTGTTTAATATCTAAAATCAAAAGTCTGACTTCCTTTTTTTTTTTTTAAAGTCCAAGAGAGACAGAAAAAGGCAAACACCTTTTTCGAAAATATCACACAATCAAGTAACAGTATTAGAACATGTTTTAATGATAACTTGGTCATCGGGCAGTTTTGATCTGCTAGATTGTTCAGTTTGATTAAAGTGCATAATTGCATATTTTCAAGTGTGTGGGTGTAAGAACAAAAGAGACAGAGAACCTGTTTTAAAATTGCTGCAAGGTCGAAATCAAAGCCAATTTCAAATCTGTTATTCTGAATTAAGTCACACACAGACACGTATCAGGAGCTTTGCCCCTTACACTGTGCTTTAGGAAGAATTTGGCACATCCTGCAGACTAATGAGCGCACAGTGTTCTCTGAGAGGAGCGGCAGTGACCCTGAAGCAGGATAAATAACTCTGAACAGCTGACTCACACTTACACAAACCCTCACAATTACTACTATTCATACATATAATTAGCCGGAGAAGCATTTTGGATTTTTTAATTAACTTCAGCCACTCAGCTGGAAAATCACAGTAATATAAAAAAAAAAAAAAGAAAATTGAAATGGTTTTCCCTATTGTTTCTAACTAATTAAAAATAAATGTATTATTTCATTATAATGGAAATATTTATAAAAAGATGATATTGTATAACTGTCTGTACGTTTTAAATCCAATGTTCTATTAAAATAAAATAAATGTATGAATACAATTCTTAATATCCGGAATTTCTTGATGATTTCACTTATTCTTTTTACAGTGTTTTTTTTTGTATAAGGATGATAATATTATTACCGTCGCTAAGGAGGTTGTATTTCCCGTTTGGTTTGCATGTGTGTATGAATGTTAACGCTGTGGTGAGAACAGCATGCACACAAAGTCTCACAGCAAACTGAATTACACAGTGAAGTCATCAGGGACATTTGACTGTGCTAACAATGAATGGGTGTTAATAAAAATGATACACGCACAAAACGTTAGGAATACCTTTCAAAATATTTTATAGTATCTTTCATCGTGCACAATCTTTGTATAAAACTAACTGTTACCCTGTTTGTACACTCGTGGGGCTGGTAGGCCAACCTTCGGTCTATTTTATGGCTTAGTTATGAAGGTTTTAGCAAATAAAACAAATACCACAATGTTTTATTTCAGACATTAAGGTTATTTGAATTTGACCTTTGGTAAATTGAGAAGTCATTTACTTGAAATGTCCCAGGATTTGCCATCACTTTCCAAAATAGTCAGATATATTTGCTTTAATTGCTTTTTTGTTCTAATAAAGACAAATGTGCTGCCAGCTGCCTCATATACAATTTTAAAGGAGCCCGATAATGCTATTCATAATTGTGTGTAGTGTCTCTACTGTGACATGTGTCCATGATTTAATGTTCAAAAAGCTCTTTATTGTTCTCATACTGCCTGTGCTGCAGCACCTCTTTTCACCCTCTGTCTGAAACCAGTGCCCAGTCTGCTCTGATTGGTTAGCTGGCCAGCTCTGTTGTGAATGGTCGGATGTCCCGCCCCTTAGCCTATCACATACAATGCTCTGTTGTGATTGGTCAACCGCTTAAAGATGTCCCGCCTCTTAGCTTAAATGTGTTGAAGCACTAGCTAATAGAGGCATGAGTATTAAATGGTGATGCAATTATGTTAAGGAAGTAAACAATGGAGTCCAATGGAGGCGTTTCAGGCTACTCTCACAGGTATTAAACAACAGGTATTCATAACATTTTGTACGCACAGTCGAAGACTAAATTAAAAGGAGGGTGGTAAAACCTCATCCTTTAAAGTGAGGAGGGAGAGGGTGCGTACTGAATGTCATTCAAGCTGGAATTCCTTTTGAAGAGAAGGAAGAAGGGAGGGATGGGTGGGTGGGCCGGAGAAAAGAGAGACAGAAAAGGGAAGAAAAGAGTTAGGTACTCAAGAGAGTGGGAGGTAGAATCAAGGTTAACATGTGTGTGTGTTTGTGAGGAAAGATGAATGAACCCTGAGGAGTGTTTACACATGGTGGATGAGAGTGGGTGATGAATGACAGGAAACAGGGGGATAATGACTGTGTTGTTTGTTTAGGTGTGTGTGTGTGTGTGTGTGTGTGTGTGTGTGTGTGTGTGTGTGTGTGTGTGTGTGTGTGTGTGTGTGTGTGTGTGTGTGTGTTTGATGTGAGACGTCACTCACATCTCCAGGACCGTCTTGAGTTGCTCCAGTTTGGATTTCTTCTCCTCGATCTCACAGTCGTTGTGCTGGACGAGTTCAACGAGCAGCAGGCGGGCGATATCCAGCACTTCCTGGAAACACACATTATTCTTTTATCTGGCTCTTATCTTTTTATTTGTTTACATGTCAGACTAAAACACACACTGAAACCTTTGCTAACGCCCTGTCTGAAAACAATGCCAAAGAGAAAGACTAGTCATGTATACGATGACAGGATAAATGCAGGGTTTGGTATAAATATTTAGACAACACTATAATGGTTTCTGCTCCATAATAATAATTAGTGAAAAGCAACCTTATCATCTGAAACCCTTCATTAGTCTTGGTAGGATTCAGTCACAATCTGCCAAAAGAACAAAAGAGGAGGGGGAGTGTGGGAAAAAGAAAGGCTGGGGGATAAAAATCAATCTCACTCACTTGGAGCTGCTTTGGTTTCTTCAGTTTCAGCTTTCCTGACTTGTAGCCTCCGTGCTTCTCAAACAAATCAAAGAATCTGAGCAAGACAAACAGAATAAAACAGCAGAATAAGAAGAGCAGTTACATCAGATCAGGGCGATATCTTAAAAGTGAAAACATATTTGATAATTTGATTAATCTCTAAGAAATAAGTGGGTAATATGAGACAGGTTAGGGTACATGCAGCAGGGAGAGAAGGCAGTTCAATGCTGACATATAATCCACGTTTTTTATCACCTGCACTCTTCTGTAAAATAAATAACTTAGTGAACTATGTATGTATGCATATTGAGTCCATTGAGACTCTTACATGTTAATCTTCTAATGCAATATCTTAAAGAGGACCTATCATGCTATTTTTAGGCAATAGCATAGGTCTCAGATATATAAATATATAAAAAACATGTCTATGAAGTGTTTTGCTCAAAATACCAAACAGATCACCCATTCTAGCCATGCCTCATATCCCTCTATTTCACTTCCTGTTTCAAAAGTGCTGATTTGGGGTATAAAGCCTTTTTTTTTTAAAGGAGGGGGCTGAGCTCATGCGGGACCCGGCAGCTACTGTCTAAACTAAATGCTGCCGTGATGAAACGCCATATCATGGATTATCAAGGATTATTTCTGAAACAGTATGGAGCTCAAAGGCTTTCTCTCTTGCCGGTTATACCACAAGGTGAGTTCCTTTTTATTTCCTGCTTCTTCACACACATGCTCTCCAGTGCAGGTTAGCTCTGAGTGTTAGCAATGCTAATGTAAACACCGACCATATTACGTCCAAAACAGTCGGGCATTGTTTCTGATAGCAACGTTTCTGATTGGGCTGTGGGTCCACATTTCAGATATTACGTCATATCGGACGCAAATCTGGATCAGCTCCGTTGTAGCCCCGTTTTTAGAGATTTGGGTACGGAGGAAAAGAGAGAGGGTTTTATTTTCTGACGCTGCGTGAGTTCCCTGACACACCGCGGACACATATTTATGTATAAACATGGGCGGCGCCAGGATTTTTTTGCTGTAGTAGCTAGCGTG